TTTTGATTTTGACAAACAGCACAGAATGCAAATTCCCTTTTTGAGGTAAAACAGTTTTCTCTTTTGTTGCTACAGCTATATCGTGAAGGTGTTTCATCCAGGTTCTTCACCAAACCAATGAGTTCTTCTTTGACAGCTAGATTATCTGTTGTCTGCAAAATAAATATTTGTGATCTCCAACATCACAAACGTGTTCACTAACCACAAAATTATATCCAGTGATGAATCAAGAGAAGACATTAAACATTAGAAGAACTAAATTACTAGTTTGTCTCTCATCTGTGACTTTCTTGATTTAAAATTTAAAACTAATAAGATCTTGTTAAGCCAAAACTTCCTTGGACTTTGATAATATTGATGTAAATTTGAACTTAGAGCTGTTTGATCTACTCTCTTCAGTTTTCATTTGTCTATTTGACTGTAACAGTTTTTAACTTTAAATGTTGACTTGCTGTCTATAAGAATTTCCTTGGAGAACTCTTGATTTGCTGGATTTTATCAGTTGTTCTAATGTTGTCAGGCTAATGTAATCATAACAAACTAACTTTATCTCTGCAGGGATTGGTTATTCTGTTTCAACTTTATTGTTGATATTTCTGGCTCTGAAATATTTTCATTTTACAAACAACACCTTCATGAAGTGATGCCAATGATTTATTTATGAATATAGTGACAAGTTACATTAAATTCCTTTAATGTAGAAAGAGATCTGAATGCGATTTAGGATTTGCAAAGAAAAAAACTGTCCTCATGGTTTTCCACAAATTTTGTCACTTTATTTATGTGTGAGACAGCGCTGAAAAGTTCTCAGTCCAATCCACTTCCCAAATTATGACAAAATATCCATTTTTTTTTTTTTTTTTTTTTTTTTTTAAATTCCTTCTTGGTCAGGTTGAGAAATTTTTAATAGGCCCTCAAATTATAGGTTTTAAAAGCATTTAACAATTGATAGCTACTTTCTACTCGATAAAGAACTTTGCTTCTATTGTAACTTGTGTATTACATCCTTATAATGCATAAATGCTACAAAAACTGAATTTTAAAAATTAAAACAACTAAATGCTAACATTTGTAGGCATTTTTTCTTTATTTGTCCTTTGATCTTAATAGAAATGTGATTGAAAATGCATGATCCCAAACATTTGAGCAATAATGAAAATAAAAATTAGATAATCTCCCTTGACAAACAATTTACAATCAGATTATTCTGCGAAAAAAGATGTCAAATGAAATAGTTTAATTAGAATGAAATAGAGATCAGTTGATCAATGCCTGAAGGCTTTTATTTGTGGGGATGTTGCTAAAACAAGATTCTTGACAAAATCCAAATTGCAATATGTAATGTTATTGGTCCTGACCTGGTATCTCGACTTTAGTCTCTTTCCCACTGTCGTGTTGTGGCATCATTCTCTGTTTTCTATAAATATTTTCCTGGCAATTATTCTAATGAGCTTTTCTCCTAGGCACCTTGATCACATGAATTTAAGCATACTACGAGATTGAGAAATAGGTCATTTTACTGTTGAAATAACTAGATGTAACCATAAGTTCTATTCTAATAGTTACTTTTCTCACACTACTTGCCTGTGAAACTCTCTTCTGGTTTCTTGCTTCCCTGATACCTACAATCTTCAAAAATGTAAATGCGACATCAATTGCAACCTTCTGTCTTCTGTTCTTTTATTGTCCTTTCTCATCACTAAAATTTTCTCATTCTCTTCCCCTCCCAGTAACTTTTTGTGTCTTAGTGGCATTATCACTTTGTTTGGGGTGAAATTATTTTAAATAACATAGAGCGCTGTTGATCAATGCCCGCAGGCCTTTAATTGGTTGTGGCATCACTAAAACATAAAAATTTTTGGGCCATCAATTAAGCTATTAAAGTAAAATCAGAGATGTATGAAGTGATATCCAGTTTTAGGAAGGTGAATAAGGTTCTGATCATTCTTGATTGAGTCTACCAGAGACGGAGGTCTGATGCTGAAACACACAAAATATGCAATCAGCAATGGAAAGTGCATTTTGCAAATACTCATTGAATCTAGACCTTCATTTTCTTTTATATAATAAAGATTGATTTAAAAAATGAAAAAAAAATATTCTTGTCAATATCATAGATAGAGCATTGGTAAATATAAAAGTAGACACTGAGGTTAATACTAAGTGCCAACAGTCTATTTCATGCTGGAATGCTATCTTCAGGTCATTCAGGTGTTGACCTCAGTGTCTGCTCTTATATTTACATACACTGTATCCCAGATATTGAGCACTTTTACCCATAAATATTTCTTACATTAAAACTATATTTTTATTGTATATGTGTGCGTATTCTTACTTATATTGTAGAAAAATATCTACTATATAACCAAGTCTTTTATTCATTTTCAGTATTAAAATATTGCTTGTTGAATGTTCACATTCTTGTTTCAAGATGAAAGTAATTCTGAAAAACATTCTTATAAGTAATCAATATTGACAAAAAACACATTGGATAATTTTTTTGTTTATAAAATGAAGATGTGAATAAATATTGGAATATTTCATAACATCAAAGGTGCTTTTAATTTTTTATCTTAAAATTGTTTGGTAAATAAAATTTTTGTTCAAGTACAATTTAAAAGAAAAAAGCATTGCCGTATAGACTTAAATGACTTGCATAAACTCCAGTTAGGAAAATTAATAACAATTTTTTTTTTGTGTGACGCATTTCATCAAACTAAAGCGGTTTTTGTTGATGTGCTTTGGTTATAATTATGTCAGGTAGTGGACACTAAAATTTTTAGATTTAAAATTTTTTTTTTTTTTTTTTTCATATTCAACATGAAACAGAAGGCAAATAAAATATTTCAAAATAGTGGAGTGGCCTATTCTGGCAAATTCAACAAATCAAAATATTATTCTACTTAGTAATTTTATCACAACTACAACTAGAAAGAATTTACTTAAGCTTAACATAAAATTTGTTATCACTACTTCTAAAACAAAAATAATAGTAAGGTAAAACGTGAAGGAGGAATTTACTTTATCACTTGCAATAGTTGCAACAAAAAATACATAAGGAATCTTATACAAAACAATCAAACACAAAACAACACACTAAATGCATTAGTTTCTCACTGCAATGGGACTGGCCATAATTTTCGTTTTTTCTTTTTTTTTTTCTTTTTTTTTTTCTTTTTTTTAAATCTACTCTAGTTAAAATAGAAAGCAAATCACTAAGATGAAAGTGTTTTAATCACTAGATCATCGACATTAAATTTGTATCCAGGTTCCTACAACATTTCACCTTTCTTGGCAGATCTATTATCACAATGTAGGATATTTAATAACAAATGTAATTTAAATATATATATATATATATATATATATATATATATATATATATATATATATATATATATATATAAAAAAAAAACCAAATGGAATTATACACCCAGACACATCTTAAAAAAAAAAAAGTTTAAAATTTCAGTGTCCCAAACTTTTCAGCATTTCCTATCTAGACATAATTATAACCAATGTAGGTAAAAAAAATAGCATTACTTTAGTCCAATGAAGTTCTAAGGACAAAATGTGTCACACAAGATTTTTTTTCCATAATTTTATTAACATTGTTCAGATAGATAAATTTTTATATATCTACTCTTGTATATGCTGTTCTTTAGTACTAGTAGTATTAGTAGTAGCCTGAGAAGAGGCTACAGGCATGGACATTACATGGTTGTGATTGTGACTAAATTGGTCAGTCTTGTTTGTCAATGAAATTCTTTAATAGCAAAAGTGAATGAAATGTTATTTGCTAATTGCTTACCTCATTTGGGGGAGTAATTTGAATTTCATTCAAAGATAGTTCTTTCTTCTCTTGCATTAAGGTTGATTTTTATTTTATTTTTATTGGCGGGGGGCAATATTACAGCCATATTACGTTAAAACACTGGTTCTCGTATGAGAACTGAAATAAGCAATATTGAGTCTGGTCAGTACCTAGATAGGTAACCCTTTGTGAATACTAGGTGCTGTAAGTTTGGATGTGTGGGTGTAACAGATAATGGTTCAGAATTAGAAATCACAGAGACAAGTTCTAATTTAGTTGAGTTTATATCCACTTACCTGCAAATACCTTGGGAAAGGTATGAGTCCACCTCTTTTCCCCCAGTTATGGATTAATTAGTAGGCTGTGTGTCAGTAAATCATTATCTCAAAAAAATTCTTATCTAAAAATATTTTCTGGTTTTAAATAACCTGCAAAAGGTTGATATGCCATAAAATAACTTTTTTTTTATCAAGACATTGTTAAAATTATTCCTTCTTCATTATTATAGTTTATTTTGATTTTATATACAAATGCAAAACATGCTACCTCAGAATCAGGGAATTTGATCACAAAAACAGTTTCCTTAATCCAACACCTAATTTCCACTATTTGGAATCAATGAATCTAATCTAACACTGCTATATTACTTGAAGATTATCTGGAATTTTAACTATATAATATTTAGGCTATGATCTATAGTGTCAGATTAAGTGCATTGACGAGAATGGAAATTGTTGATAAATATTTGTTGCGTAAAATATTTGTTGCTTTTTTTTTCTTTTTTTTTTCTTCATTATCAGGCTATGAACTTGATTTCTCTATGTAGATAGCAGTCTCTCAAAAGTCTGTGTTACATTAATTTTGTGTACCCAGTTCAAAGTCCTCAAAACTTTTGGCTAGCCTTGTGTGCAAGTGTGTACACACACACACACACACACACACACACATTTCTTCTCTTGAATCCATTTCTTTTCGTCAAATGGATTTTCTTTGCAATAATAATAATTATTTTTTTAAGAAAAAGCTTAGTTACTGCTTATCAGTTGTTTTATTCTGCCTGCTTAAAAATAATTAGTTCTTACTGCATCTCCAACTTTTCTTTGTATATACATCAACCTAATCCAAAATCTTTCTATCTTTTATTCTCTGCATGCAAGCACTTGTCGATATCTGCAATTGTTTTTAGGTGATGTTGATAGGGGACAGTGGTGTTGGAAAGACGTGTCTCCTCGTACGGTTTAAAGATGGTGCTTTTCTTTCTGGTAGCTTCATATCCACAGTTGGTATTGACTTCCGGGTGAGTATACAATGTTTCTTCTTTTGTTTTGTTCTCCTCTAAATGTAGCAATCCAAAGATGCTGGTTGCTTGTGTCCTTGTACGATATTCAGGATGAAGCAATGGGCATTAATGAAGAAAGAAGACCCTTGTTTATGCGACAAAAAAGAAACAAATTGCAACCATTCAGGATGAAGTGTAAAGCCCAAGGTTGTTGCTGTATTATTTGCTTTCTCAATAATGCAATAAATGATTGAGGGAACGTTTTTCTCATCTCCATAGAGATGACTGTCTGCTGTGCTCTTCAGTCTTGCATTTCTCTACTTCTTTTTATCTTTAAGGAAGAAAAACTCTTCTATGCCAAAAAAAAAAAAAACAAGACAAAAAACGTCTGCCATTTTATTTGCTGCTTTGATTTTCAGTGTACAACACAATTTTACCATCCTTGTTATTCTGAAGTTTATTAATTATATTTTTGTCAATAGTTATAATACAGTATAAAATTATAAATGGTATTTATTACTGAATTTTTTAATTTTCATCTTAATTTCAGTTGCTATTTATTGCAACTTTCACATTGTCATTCTACAAGCAGACTGAATTGAAAATAAAGGATAATAAACCTTTATTTTTTATTTCCAATCCGTATTTCATATTAATCCTTTAAGAATGATAATCTAAAAATTGCAATTAAAAAAAACAATATATTCAGTTGAATGCTAGTCAAAAACTTAGTAACTGACAATACATCATAAGAAATTCAAGTACTATTATAAATGACCTTGTCAAGAAAAATAAATTTTAAAATTGACAAGGAATAGTATTTTTAAAATAAAATTCATAAAACTTCCTTAAAGGCTGCCATTAAGCCTGATACCGAATAAAGTTGTATTTAAAGAAAAACACCATAAATATCATTTTATATACCTGAAGTTATTTCCCTTGAGAAATCACATCATTTAGGCTGAGTGGGAAACCTAAACTATTCATATTGAATTACAAATTGAACTGGAAATTGATTCATTCCTTAAATTAGTGCAAAACTGTTGAAATACTCTGAAATATTTTCTTTTGTGCCACTGTATAAAACATATATATACAAAAATTGGATTTTGTTTAATTTAAATTATTTTTTAATAGGTGTAGATTTGTAAAATGCATCTTCCTTTTGACAAAGTTATTGATACTGATTGTGAAATTGGTTGTATTTCATGATATTTCAGTGGTTATTCATAAACTGAATAATGTTTTGTTAAATAATCAGATAAGATTATTCTTTCTCTTCTCTTTCATTCTGCTTGTTTATTTTGATTATTATCACTGAATTGTAAGTGTTGTATATAAAAGTGGATAGTGTAGAAGTTGTAATGTATATAAAAGTTGTAACTTGTGTAAAACTTGTTCCAAGTCTTTGAAAGGAATTGTGATTTATCAAACTAAAAAGAAGATTGATTTTTATTTTTTGAGCTGAAGTATTTTTTTTTGTTCTTTCATTAATAACGCTCAGTCATGGAGTTCTTTTTGTACTGGCATATTTGGGTTGGAGAGCTGGAAAGTGAGGGAAAGACTATTTCTAAAGTCATGGTATAACAAGATAGACAAAGAACACTGAAATTTGTTTTAAAGCAACAAAAATGAAAACAGGAATTGAAAAATTATTTATTAGAATAATAATTATAATAATAGAAAATTTACATTTTTATGTGAAACAAATTTTAATATCAGTTTTTTTTTCAAAGCATTATTAAGATTGCTATGCCATTTTGTAGTTTTTCTATTAGAAAGGAAACCATTTGTAATAATTATGAATGATGTTGTCAAATGGTTATGGTTGGTTCCAAAAACTTTATTGGAAATGAAATAAAAAGAAGATAATTTCAAATCAATAAATTAATCAATAAATGCAATTTCCATAAAGCTGTTTATTTATGGATTCAATTTTTCATAAAGCTGTTTATAACAACAAATGTGTATGTATGTATTTGTGTGTATGCTTAAATAATAGATTTGTACTTTTTTCAGAATGGGTCGAAAGTAAATTTACCTGAAATTCATTTTGGAAAAAATAAAATCTGAATCTTTTTTTTTCAAGCCACTCTGAAAATAAAATGAGGATTTACCTTAAACTCAAGACAGAAAAGCTGAGAGAATATATTAATAACTTTCAACTTGAACTAAGAATTATGAAGAAAAGATACAATAAATATTAATGGCATTTTTAAATTTTCATTCTTTTCTTTCATCACGAGAAGCACCATTTTAGCAGAAAAAGTACTAATAATTTATTAAGCACGCATGCGCGCACACACACACACACATTTCTTTCTTAGTTTTTATATCTGATGAAACCTAGAAAGCTGAAACACATAATCAAATCTAATTTCAGTGAAACAGTTTTTCATTTGTAAAATTTCTACAAAACTTTGTTGGGATTCTATATTCTATTTTACACACACACACACACACACACATCAATTTCTTTTTTTGCTTTTCCCCAAATTCAGCTTGCAGACATCCTGCATTTATTAATTTTAATTTGATCTTAAATTGCTCCATTTTCAGAATTGTGAATTCTTCACAATATTTTGCCAGGTTTATTTTTACAGGTCATTCTCTCCATGCAAAATTTACAATTTTTCTTCTTTCAAAAGATTTTATGTTCTTCATTGTTATTTCTTAATCAAATGTATTATCTTGGAATTAAAGTCTTCCTCAATAATTGCTTGCTTTGCTACTGATTAAAAAAAGGAAATCCCTAAAAATATTTATAGCTTTTCATTTTCTATTAATTAAGCAAAAATACTTTATTTTTATTACATTACAATTAATACAATGTATTTTTGACTTTACAGATAATCATTTGTGTGTTAATTTAACTAAATCCTCTTTAAACAATAAAGATCTCATTTTTACTTTTTCTTTTTCAAAGTACATTTTTTTCTCACTACTATTGATAATAGTAGGAGGAGGAATATTATTTCTTGGTGAATGGAAGCAGATGAGAGAGTGCATTTGATTCGTTTCTTTCTTGCAGTTCTTCCTATCAGAAAAATCTTCACTGAGCATCTCACATAAAATTCTGTGCTTGTTATTGTCAAAGTTGTAATCAGTATAGAAGCAGGTAGAATTTAGGGTAGATGCTTCTTGCATCTCATAAAAGCAAGAAATTTCAAGCAAAAGAAAAATCAAGATAATGATTCTTCAACTAATTGTTTAATATTCTTTACAATTTTGTAAGAATGAACTTTTCTATGGTTAATATTGGCATCATTAATTTTATAAATGATTGATGCTGGAAAGAATAAAAACAGAAATTCAAATGATAGTGAAATTCTTTATTACATAAAGAGTTGAGTACTCTGTTGTAAGGTAAAAGATTCTCTGAAGTTCTCTACATAAAAAAAACACTGAAAGATGTCATACTAATTTCCAATATAATTACTATGAGCTAAGAAATAGGAATTTGACCTTTTTTTTTTTTTTTTTTTTTTTTTTACAACCCTTTACTAGTTTTCCAATACTATCCAAAAATATTTAAGTTTTTGATATTTTAGAAGTACAAAGGCAATTGCAAAATTATACTTCTATCTA